TGCAGTGGTGAAAATTGTAAACGTGGAAGATTTTAGCTTATCCTTAGAGGAGAATTTAATCTAAAATCGATATTATATCCAAAGCCGTTAATTCCGAAAGCCATAAACAGCCCAGGAGCCACGAAACGCTTCAGCGACCCCACAGTCACATAACCCGACATTTATTACGAAAGATTCTGGAAATCCATCGAGCGCTAAGGGGCATCGTACCACGGCGTAGGCTAACACAGTGGTTACCCTGGACCGTACGAGGGGCATCCATTAACTAAGCCCCGTAATCCCTTCAGTTAAGTTAGCACATGGTGCGACGGACCATCGTCCATCGTCCTCACACCAGCACGTAAACCCTCCTGTCTTACGACCGATCTTACCCTCTCTGTTTCCTTCGGCTTCTTTGTAGATACATGATACACTCATTGCCCAGTGATTCCCTTATCCCATTCTTTACGGGCTGGACCGTGTGAAGTGTTCTATTTATCTAAATCAGCACCTTCGACTATCTTTCGAAATAAATGGTAAAAAATGCGCTCTTACTACGACTGTTCTTCAGGAAAGGTAAATTTTACAGAAATCCAAGACTTCCAAGAGCTTGTATACGAGCAGCGGTAACTCATCAGGTGCCTCACGTCATTCCTACGCCTGACAAGAACGAGAATCCCGGATAAAGGAGGAAATTGTTTAGCATCGCGCTCGAGTCCGCTTCGGGGTTAACGAAATAAATTAAATTTGTTAGACAAGATTTAAAAAAGCTCAAATATTGTTGCTGTATTTTAGCTCCAGCGCAGGTAAAGATACAATATTTGAACATCGCAATTTCAGAGTCGTTTTGCGCTACGAAAAAAAGCGTACATTCGTCGATCGTAAATAGATTTTCAAGTTTCACTCTGTCACATCTTAATATAATTAATATTTCATCGGATACTAGCAACGTGACGCCAGAACAAGGCTTAACGACTGCCTGTACTCTTAATGACGAAGCGCAGTGTCACATTCTCGTACAGTAAGTAAGCCAACGATAGGTAAGATGAGCCGCTGCTATCGGATGAGAAATTATCCGCGAGGACACTCCCGATATGTGCATACCTCATCCGAACGGAAAACAGAATAGGAAAACAAATCGCGAAAGCAATAATGAAATATTTCGACAGTTTATATTTTAATCTCATTAACAATTCAGGAATGCTCGCCACTTCATATTACGAACGGTATTAAAAGCTTTGACACCGCTTGCCTGTATCTGCCGCTTGAATTAATTATCATGCAATTTATTAAGAGGATTTACGCGATATGTCGAAGTCACCCGACGTTCTGATTAATTTTGCATTATCAATTAAAAAATAATTGCCGTGGATTATGTAGAGGCTCATTATTACGCCACTTTAGATCAATAAAGGGCTACGCTGGTACGGCCATCACGTGTCGGTGACAAGAATTTGCATAATATTTTGAAATTAATCGACTTTCCTGCTAATTTTCAATGTCAGATCATAAGCCAATATTCAGCCCTTTGATACTGACGGTATCATCTAATATCGATAATGACCACCTCATCATTTATGAATATTTCGTTACATCAATGAAATAATTTATCATCTTGTCATTATACCATATAAGTGTATTACTGTAGCCACTAATTACGAGCTACAGCTAACGGGTTTACAACATTTGCGTGTCTTACACAAGTGAATTAAAAATATTATTAATTTACACGTGATGGGCAATGCGTAATATTCAGTAATACAAGTTATTGACAGCAGCTACTATAAAATGACGCGATACATTTATCGGATTGTGATGTAATTTATGTTATTTTCAGAGTACCTACCTACTCCTCTGTGTGTCTTTAGTTAGCTGATTTTTTAAATCTATTTTATAACCGATCGAAAAATATACGTCAGCTATTTTTTCAATGTTTTAATATTCTCGTGTTTAGGGATGAAGCCCAATTACGTTGTAAAGCATTTAACCGGCGGCTTGTACGACCCCGCGGCATTACGTACAATTTTCTTCGCATTATACCTAATTGACCGGCTGATGTCAGTGCGTCCCGTCTCTTTCCGTCGTGTATCGATCTCGGAATTATAGGGCGATTATACGGTGCAACCATATATTGCTAGCACGATTTAGGGCCGTGGTTCGTTTGTTGGTTTTGATGGTGGGGCGAAATTACGATGAGTCGATGAACGTCGTCTCGACTCGATAAATTATGCATGATAGTAACGCTACCTTAATAATTGAATATGTCTCTTGGAATAGAAAAATTCGCCGTTTAGAACTTTCGAAAGCAAGTGGCTCTATAAATAATTTAGGAAGATGCTATAATAAATGATATAATGGGGGCACATTCTATCAAATTTGTTTAAAACTTAAACAAAATTGATTTATATTTGTCTGTTGATTAGATGCAGAGATACTCTGCTTTAATAATTCAATTGGCTGATGAATAAAAGAGTTACCGATGTATCTGCGCTTTATGTCGCGCATACACACGGCTCGTATCAGCGTCCAGCCGTTGCTGGGAATCGCGTGTTTATGCACGATTTATCATTAGCCCCTGAGACAAAGAGAGAGAAAGCAAAAAGAACGTATTTGAAGGACAAATACTCTCTCTACCTAGCTTATATAAACTTAATTAATGAGGTGTATATATATTCGCTATATATATTCAGGTGCTATACACAACGATAATGTCAATATAAAAGATTGAAGACGAGAAAATGAGAAACTTATTAGTCATAATATTGTTTCGTGATTCTATCTACTATATATTCCATCTATTATTTATATATTCGAGAAACCTTGAGGATTACGAATAGAAGAATAAAATTAACTCGGCTGGGACATAAAAATCTATATTAGCTGCCGTAATAATAATACGATTCGGCGAGCTTATTACGACGAACTGTATTGACCGAAGAACATATTGAAGAAAATCGTGAATCGCTATTTTTACGTTTGGTAAAGCATACGTAATTAAAAATGACGGTTCCCTCACAAAGCCAAGGTAGATCTTAAAAGAGATGTGACAAAGTAACTTTATTTATGCTTGTTCATTCACTCTTGATTACATTATTGCACTTGCATGCCCGCGTGGTGCGATATCATTAGTAAAATCTATTAATTGAGTAAGAATAGTCGCGCGCGTGAGGCTTGTCTGAGAAACGTATCGCTGGTGCAACGTATTGCGATTGAGCGCGTTATAGATATAGCGTTGAAAGCCGGTGAAAATAAAGCGTATGGTAAACACGATCGCGAACAAAGCATTGCAATTGTAGTATCGTTCTCGCATATATCTACATCCATTTTAATCGGCGTGCCGCAACGCAAAACGAACGCGCGGGGCGCGTTTGGTATATTGCAAGGTTATTTCGGCGTCTCGCATGGATACGGCGAATGTTAGCGGACGGCAATCGGCAGATGAAACTGCAGCGTGCGCGCAATCCGCTATACTCCTGTCGATATATTCTTCTTCATAACGACCGGGAATCAAGCGGATAACATACCCAATACTGGCGACCTCATAAAAAAAAGAAGAGGGAACAGATAGGTGGAATGCAAAATCAAGCCGCACAGCGCACATAAATCAAAGTATCTGTATACGCCCTCTTAAAAATTTATGAGAAATAAGCATTACTGTGAGGATTATAATGATCAAAATAATCCTAGATTTTCGGATTAATATTTATAACATTCAGGAGATAAAAAGTTGTGTGTGTGGGGCAGATAATCTTAGAAAGGGCCATTTATTATTTAAATCATAATTCCGACGTTTCCCTGTATAGCAACATTAGTAAATCTACCCACAGGGCTCATGTGCTTGCCGTTGTTAGCCACGTCCAGCATTGAATTCGTCCTTGATAGACGATTATCGTCACCATGCATCGATCGATAATCGTAACGAATGAACTCTGGCATTAGTGTACCATTCAATGCTACGCAGATTTGGGAACGACCGATTACGGCATTTTTCTGCAGAACGCATTCAAAATAAAATAAAATATAAAATTGTTAAGTACAATCTGTTACATTATATTTCGCAACTTCCCAATAATAGAAATTTTTCATAAAACTTCGATATTTCCGATATAAATTGATATAATTGACTCGATTCAGTACCGCGGTGATGCCTAGCACCAACCAATATTATAGTGTAAAATATCACGTATTTCAAATAAATTTTAAATATACGCTAGTGAATAAAACAACATTTATTGCTATCACAATTTTTCAATATTTCATAACAAATGTCAACATAAACCAAAACTTATTACAATAACTGAATAATAAAATAAAAAATACAATATTATATACACCGAATCGACAAATTCAATATGAAGTTTTAGGATATATAAATACTTGCACAAATTCTTGCATTTTAACATGCGGCAGGAAAGATCGATACTAGTTTGCATTATACATCCTTCTCACCGATACGTAATCGTCTGACGTTACAGCTAATTGTATGGCATAGAAAACAAAATAAAAAAATAGAAAAATAAAAGTAATCTATCTCAAGTGAATTCGAAAGTATCTCGAAAATTCCGCAGTAATCGCATCGGATAATCGCGCGACGCGAAAAATACAATTTCGCGAAGAATACGGAATGCAGACGGTACGCGGCTTATCGTTCGTCGTTATCTGGCACGGGAGAACGAGCATCGATGGCAAGACGTGAAAGAATATCGATAGAAAGCAATGGATATTTTCGCCGGAAATCGTATAGGGAGGTATAGAAGCACTCTCCGGCTTTAGTAGCTACTGTGCGTGCCTGGTCAGCCACCCGACCGAATCGCTTACGCGGGGTGTTAACCCTTTTTGCACCGACGCGACGCGGCCGGCAGTCGCTCGGCGAAGCTTATCCCGACGCTTATACTACTCACAGACCTCACAGTAGTCACCAGCCGGCTAGACGATACGAGAGTCAGCCCGCTCGCTTGGCGCGATGCGCGTACAGCCAAGCCTGGCTATACCTCTCGTCGCACTCCTCGTCCTTCGATTCACCTGTCTGACGCCAAGCGTCCGTCCCTACTACGTTCCACGGTGCTCCCTCCTCCTCGCCCTAGTCCTGCCCCCTCCACCGAAATCGATGCTACTCGCGGATCGCGAGTTCAGTCTGCGACTGGCAACCGCGCGTGTAACATCGTTTCTTCCTTGTCCCTCTCTAAACGCTCTCCCGCCCCCTTCTGCTCGTCGCATGTTGTATCGCGTGAGTTTTTGAGTTACAGGAGATTAAAAAAAAAAAAAGAGCGAGGATTATTCAGCGCCGCGAAAATTTCGGTGCACCGACTAGGACGATTTCGCGAGAGGAGAGAGGAAACGTGAGATAAGGTGAGAGATAAGATGAGAGCCGATGTCGTGTCGGTGACGATCTTCCATCGTCAGATGCATCATCATTGCGCACTACCGGACCGATCTTGAGGCGGTCTCGGATGTGCAGCGACGCGAAGGATAACGATTCGGGACAGACTGTACTTTTACGCCGGCAGAACTGCTGATTCTCGGTGAGTAAAAGTTGACAAAGTCTCACGAAATTTCGAGTGAATCACGTAATTCACCGTTTGAAACAACGCACACCAGAATGTAACGGATCGCGAACGAAAAATTGTGATTAAGGGCAACTGGTACCGTTACCAGTTAGAGTGTCCAGATATCGAAGTATCTTATGTCAAACGTATCAGTTCTATCGAAATTCGATGTTATATTTTTTGCCGCATAAACGTTAAGTTATCCACACATTTTTTTTTCACGTTGATACAATATTTACAGAACTGTATGCTCCGAGCCGTTGAGTATTTTACACTTTCGACATTCTCGTTTTTTGCCAGATATTTTTCCCCCTAAATAAAATAAATTCGATAATCCGAAAGGAAAATTTTAAGAAACTTGCAAAAGACAAATACATTTTATACGCATCAGACACCGCATCATACCTTTAGTGGTTGCGCAGATTAGCGTAATAATTCCCGATAAAGGGAAAATCGCTACGTCACCCGTGTATATTAGTGTATATCGCAAGTAGGCAAATGCGTGATTGGTCAGCCCGGTCGGCTTTACCGTGGACATTTCAGTGACAGTTTCCATTAGGGCGAACCGTAATACTCCGACAAGTCTACCCATAGTGGTTTCCCTCGCACGTTCCACCGCAAGAAATTTCATTCCTCTCCCTATCGCGCCCCCGCCCTCCCCTCCCCCCCTCCCCCTGTATACCACGACATTCTCTTTCCTTTGCTCATGATCTCCGCAGCACCGCAGGCACGGTCCACGAGTATGGGTCGTACGAATACGATACATACGGACATACGCGACTCGCCGGAACTTTGTTAATTAATTGCTTTGGAAATATAATCCACGTCGAGTGTAACTAATCAGCGAGAAACTCGGTCGGACGTTGACGGGCATGTTTGCTGCACCTATCACGTAGCGGGATGGAAATGTAATTTGCCAGGATAGAGTTAGCCCCGTTGAATGCCGCGGCCAACCTTCAGCCGCCTGTTTTCCTCCCCCTCGGTGCCAGTCCCGCTTCGAGTCAGAACCCTCGGCAGCGTGCCGCTCATTGATCGCTATTCTGGATTTCGCATGTAAGGATCCAACAGAGCAGTCCGTTGCGGAAGCACGCGCTCGCCTATCGGCTGTGTTTCGATGAGGGCGAGCAAATCGGCTGGTAAACGTTACAATGCAGATATACGCGGGCGTTGTAACTCCGCATTGGCCTGACGTGCGAAGTTACAACGCTTTAAAAATCGCAATTTCTCTCACAGGCATTAGACAAGTTATATCATCCTGTACGTGATCTGTGTATTTTTTACATAAAGAGAGAAAGAGCGTTATTTGATCAATTTGAAGTTTTTAAATGAAAACATCGAAAAATGTTATCATTAAATATCTTGTAAATAATCTTAAAATTATACTGGTCCATTTTTTAAAATTAAATTTAGTCGAAATTTAATGAAGAATAAGACTTCACTTTCCTGAAGCTTATTGCTCAAAGAACGATAACTTTCACAATAGTTTACAATTCAAAAACTATCAACTCTTAATCTTTTTCTATAAAAAGTCGGTTTAAAAAAATTTTTTTTAAATTAGTTTCAAGTTAGCTTTTTTTACGGAATTAATGCATGAAAAATACCTCATATTGCAAAATTTTGGATTTTATCTTATTTATACATTTTATATACTGCACATATCAAAAATTTATTATTATAAACAGTGAAAACGCCAATTAATATTAGCGTCAATAATTTAAATATGGCAAACGTATTTAATTTAAGAATAATTTATTGTAAATCTTGAAATCCCAAATTAAAGTTTGTTTATAACCTGGAGAAAATCCAATAATATATGGCATAAAGGGATGATTAAAATTGCCAACTGTTGCGAAGCTGTTATGATTCTCATAAACGGGTATATGTATGTGTTAATATTCATTTAATATTCAACATCGCGCGTATTAATTACGCACATAATTAGCTCTCTTATGAAGATTCTTTCATTTCCGACAGGATCGTTTCCGCATTTAAACTAATATTAATAACCAAATTTAGTTTCACGTTAGCTTCAACCAAAAAAAACGAATGACACGACTTTATCAGCGTTGCGGAATACAGATTGAAGATTCGAAAAGGTTTTTATCGATTTTGAGCTGCGTCGATTTATTCAAGAAAAGGGAAAATATCTAGACGAATGAATGTAAGCGATAAATAACTGGCGCCAAGCGATGGGAAGTAATCGGACGTGCGTATAGAATAAGCGGGGATGGAGTTTCGAGGATTACATGAAAACGGTTTCAGTGTCGGATATGTCGACGAATTCGCCGGATGGTTAAGCCAGCAGTTACGATTAAAAGCCGCGGGCTTCCATTGTATCGTCCATTCGCATATAGGGAGTTCTCACATAAATTGTTTAAAACGTTTACTCGATTGTCGCGAAGAAGATACAAACGCGCGGGAGCTGCGAAACTGCAGTTGCAAATTTAGCCGGCGCCAAATCGTCTATAGCGGCAGACAATAGTAGTTCAAATCCTGCAAATTATTACATACACACACGCGCGCGCGCACGCATGCACGCACATACGTAATAATTCGTTTCGTCAATGCGCGCGCAAACCGAGAGAGAGAAAGAAAGAGAGAGAGAGAGAGAGAGAGAGAGAGAGAGAGAGCGCGCGCGCGCAAGTGATCAAGATGTCGCACACTCGCGTCGTCGTGGAAGAATAAAAGGCACTTCCGAAACACGTAGACCTGAACACGATATTAGATTGCGACATTTGTACATTCGTGACTGTACATATGTCTAGCCTTAGTATGCGGTATGCACTACGGCTGTGCGGTGCGGTAATACAAATAGGGGTTGCTCCCGGGCGCGACGCCTGTACGGCGTAGCTTCACGCATCGCTTACTCATTGCTGAACATCCAGTCGTAGTTGGTGCCGCTCTTGGGACACGCGAAATTTACTTTAGCCGCGAGCACGACTTTAAAGCGGTGTTTCGAGGACACCGCCTACCGCGGCAAATAACGTTTCAATCCGTGTCACAAAGTCAGCAACGTCCTAGATGCCTGCGTGCCCGCGCACCGCGATGTGCACGCGCACACACACACACACACACATACACACACACACACACACACACACACACACACACACACACACACACACACACACACACACACACACACACATGCGAATGGCGCTACACACTTCGATGGCGTTTAATGCCAATGTCACGCCGCGGAATGCACAAAGTTTCAAGCCTGTTTCGAATGCAATTTATTGTCATGTACAGCCGCGAATTGGATGGCGGTCTGATTTTAGCAAGTCAGAGAGTCGGAAAGCAGTTCCGCTGAAAGGGCTGCAGAGCGTGTGATGATATTAATAAATATTACGGGATTCAACATATTGTTTTTTTTTCATTTACGTAACAGGCAATGTTACGGCTGCACGGTTTAATGATTGATTGTTATTATTATTTTCTTTTTTAGATATACGGACGCATCACATTTTGTCATCTAGCAACACTGATTGCGCAGTTTTTTTACCGAGTTTTAAACGTGACTGTTAGAGTGCGTTATACGAAGATACAACGATAACATAATGCCCCGTACAGCGGAATTGCTTTAAAAAAACTGGGTCGTGTGCTACACGTTTATTCATATTCTCCTGCATAAATACGTCTCGCATATGAGAAAGCATACAAAATTTGTTTTTTTACACGAGAAACGTTTTCTCTTGCTTGCGGATATGCATAGATATCATTTTACCTGTGAAAAATGCAATTCGGCAATTGCACAACGTGAAATACGTTGTATACATTGTCCGATTTACCGATGTAAACGCAAACCGCTGATTATCCGCATATTGCTGCACGTTGATTGGAAAACTGGGAAAAATTTGAAAATTAGACGTTACAACAGTCAAAAATGGCCAAGAAATACAATGATAGCTTTTATTGTTACGCACGATAATTTCGTGCGATATTTTCGTCTTTCTTCATTATTTACGCAAATGCGAAAACGCCCGCAAATCAGTTTACTTGCAGGCCAATCAAAATTGGCGATCGTTATATTTTCCTAACCGCCATTAACGGTAGAAAAGCGATATTGTCAACTAATTTCCGCATTTAAACATATACTCGTTACGTGTTAGTTTATTTACGCGTCGCGGCGCGTTATTTAATTATTTCCTCAAAGTGTTACACGTAGACATAGAGTAAATTTGTGCACGTGCCAGTTCGGTTTTGGCGAAATAACGCCATCTGTTGCACCTATCGATTCGTAATGCCTGCCGATCATTACTGGCGTTGCAGAATTTATTGCTTCGTAAATAACATTCAAGACGCGGTGACGGCATCTCTCGTACGCCCGGGTGGCAATCAATAATTACAAACGTAGCGAAATTCGTCAAATCTACGCGGCGTATATCGACCGGATACACGGCATTTTGTTCGCATAATTCGCAATCGTGCATCTTTATTTTCGCCGAAACAACAATTAACAAGAAACGTCCACATGAGCCTCGCGATTGTGTAAATAACTACGTGAACAAATACCGCCCGACCGTGACTAGTGCACTCTCGCTAGTCTGACAAACACGATACCTAACTACTGCGATAACTGGCGTAGTTCATTTCGCTTGAGCGTAAATATCCAGATATTGTGCCCGCCGATATAATATCGAAACGCAAACCTCGCTCTATTCCCGAATTATTAATATTGCCTCTTAACATATCGATGTTGGAATACTTAATTACTATTTTCATTGCGCAAAAGTCGGCGGCACATATTTATTATGGACGGATTGTTGCTATTAATAGCGCTAATGCTAGTTGTCGTTGCATTAATGAATTAAATTAAAGTTTAAACTTCAATAAAATATAATTAGTAAAAAAACATTATTCCTTGAACTTTATATATATTGTTCTAAAGATAGTTCTATGCAATCTATATTTCATGATTAATTATGATTAAATGGACTTCTATAAAAAGCTGTTCAACAATAAACAATTTTGCA